AGCAGGTGGTGGAGATGGGGCTGCAGCAGCAGGTGGTGGAGACGGGGCTGCAGTAGCAGGTGGTGGAGATGGGGCTGCAGCAGGAAGACCAGAGACCAGAGCTGCATCAGGAGATGGGTTCAGAGCTGCTGCTAGGGAGTCAGGGACTAGGTCCGAAGCTGCTGCTGGGGAGTCAGGGACAGGAACCAGAGCTGCAGCAGGATGAGATGGGGTCAGGGCTGCAGCAGTTGTAGCAGCCAGAACTACAGCAAGTGATGGGGCTGAAACTGTAGCAGGTGGTGGGACCAGGACTGCCGCAGGAGATGGAGCCGTGAACCCCTCTGGAGGACTGGAGTGAGGAGCGTCCAACTGGGTCTCCTTGCAGCAGGGCAGAAAAGGATCCAGATATGTTGCCACTATAGAAGCCAGCCACCGTTCCAGCTCCTCCAGCGAAGGAGAGCTGGACTGCTCCTCCGGCAGGTGGGGGCATGGGTTCCTCTCCCCCAGCGAACTCCCCCCTCGCTCCTCCAGCGAGCGAGAGCTGGACAGCTCCTCTCGTGGGCACGGGTACCCCCCCCCCCCCCCCCCCCCCCCCCCCCCCCCCACCCCGCGCCCGCGGGGGGGGGCGACCCCCCCCCCGGCGCGGGGGCCCCCCCCCCCCCCCCCCAGCGAAATCTTCCGCCGTTCAACCGGCAACCAAGGGCTGGGCTTCCCCCTCACCTGCGAAGCTCTCTCCTCCCTGCACTGGATTCGGGGAGGACCAGCAGTTTGCCCCCCTCTCTCAGAAGATTGTCCAGGACAGCCAGGAGGAGAACGAGGAGGAGGGGGTGGGCAGCGGGGTGGGCAGCAGTGTGCAGCAGCGGGATGAGGCGGAGAGGGACGGAGAGACTGAGAGGCTGAGGACCCAGGCTTGATGGCCAGATGAGTTCTCCAAAACGGATTCTTCCTCTCCTCCCTTTCTTTGTCTCTCTGGGCAGTCTTATCCGCCTCATGGGCCAAAAATTTGAGCAGGGTAATCATCCTCCCACTGGGTTCAGTTTGGTCTCGGAATTCTATCATGTTCATCTGTCAGGAGTGTTGAACCCACGTGCGGGAGGATGACAAGGACGCTCGAGGAAGCATACAAATATTTATTCGCACAAAAACAAAATCAAAATGCTGGCAGGGCAGCTACTCACAGAACTGACTGGACGGAAAGGAAGGCTGAACACAACACCATAAGAGGACAATTCCGAGATAAAGACAAGACGCAGAGAAACTGAATACACAGACACTGATTGGGACAACGACAGACACCTGCAGTGATTAACATGACACACAGGTGAGACAGGGGCTGAACACAAGGAGGAAAAACACAGAGCTGAACAGGAAACATGAGGAAACAAACAGAGACAGGACAAAAGCTTACAGTGGCAGCACACAGCTACTGAGATGCACAGCTCTTGTTGTAGATCAAGATTCAACCACCAGACAGCATTTTATAGACTTTATTTTACTGTTCAACACACACTGAGTGAACCCCACAGGTCTTCATGACAACTACCTGCCTCACTCATGGTTACTCTACTGAATGTCCTAACACAAACTAACACATAATGAACACATAAACTATGCTAACAAGAACAGACTAATCACTAAAAGAACAATGCTAAACAGCTAATTGAAATGATTAACAATGAACAAAAAATTACCCATTATGCACTGTGCTTATATAGTTCCTTTTTATCTTATCAAGATACTCAAAGCGCTTTATGCTACAATCTGTGCCCTCATTTACCCATTCATACAGCACTCTATTTCTACAAAGATAATCAGAGCTTTAGATCACATTCATACGCCGATGGGACACACACCGAAGACAATGAGGGATTCAGTGTCTTGCCGAAGGATACTTTGGCAAGTGACTGCCAGTTGAACCCCCAACTCTGGCATTGGAGGAAGACTGCTCTGACCACTCAGCCACCCCCCCCCCCCCCAATCCCTCCCTGATGCCATGTGACCAGCAGTCAACCACAATGAACCAATAAAGTAGTCTCATTGAATCACGAGGACTCGGCCACCAAGAGAGACATGCATTGATGAGACTACCTGAATAAAAAAAGGTTTAACAAAATCTGACCAATGCATTTACCGAATAGGTCACAGTTAACAAATGAAATGGGGAGGGGAAGACAGAATGGGAGGGGCGGGAATCCCCCAGCATGGAACATGTACTCCACGGACACACACTCTGTCTGTGTGTGTTAAACAGTAAAATAAAGTCACGAGGACCCACCCCCAAGAAAGACGTGTAATGAGCGCCCGGGTGTGATGAAGCTAAATGTTTTTGGCGTTAGGAAGCTCGATAACCCATCCCCCCCCCAAAAAAAAAAAAATCTGTAAATTAGCCACAGCATTGTATAAGCCATGGGGTTCAAAGCCTGTGAAAAAATTAGCAGCTTATAGACCAGAAGGTATGGTAGTTACACAGTTTTTCATAAGTCTTCATCTACTATTCCTGTATTTATTGTTGGTTTTTAAAAATAACTTAGACTTTTGATGAACTTTTAAACTGATCTTAGCAAACAGCTATCCAGGTCTTCGGGAGCTCTTTGGACATAATTTTCAGACATTTATTTATTTATTTGTGCTATTTTTTTTTTTTTTTTTACATTTCTTACTTCATATTTTTACATTATCTTTATACTGTATCTTCTGCACATTTCTGTAATTATCAAGAAGCCCATTCAAATTAATTCATCGCACTAATGCAACTTTGTCTGAGCTCTTATTTCAATTGTATAATCATTTAGAGTTATTTCCCAAGTTTCAAAATTTGACACAAATGTGTTTTTCTTCAGTGGAAACACTTTTAGAACAAAATCACAATCACATGGATGGACACATGCAGACTAACGTTAGTGTGTTCAGAGGTCACTGCTACATGATGCTGGAGGTGAATTTGGCTTTAGTGCAGAAGCTCTGACGGTCACCAAACAGACTTAAAAAGGTTTAAAAAATACCAATACTACAGCTGCAGCAGGTCCCACAAAGGCATAGAGAAGCCCTCCTTCCAAAGAGAGCCAGCAGCTTCAAGGGACAAGTAAGAGGATACAGATTGACAACAGAGTTGATCAGAAGAATTCTAGTTGAGGAAGGAACACTGAACATCTCAAACATCAGAAATACAACAAGGATAAAGTGTGTGCATGAGAAGAATCAGGACAGTAAAATACACATGGAGCACACAAAGAGAAAAGTTGATGCATAGACATAAATCTTTGCTTGTTAAATCACCAAGCAATAACAAAGAGGATGCTCACAATCATGAACCCATTGGAAAACATGCTTACTAGCTTGGTGTTCCATAGCCTTTTGCTTTAGTGAATCCCACTGAAACTGCAACAACAAGAGCCGGGAGACCTTGAAGAGAATACATAAATTAATAAGAGTGTAAATGCACACACAAAGTAGGAAAGCAAAGAAAACAGACGACGGTGAAAGTTCCCACCCCAGCCGAGACACAGGAAACGCTTGCGGATAATACGATTCCTAAGGCGACCCGTCACTGCCATGTACGACTGCCACGCCTCGGTCAGAACCCAGCAGAACGAAGACAGGAAGAAGAAATGAAGGAAAGCTGCAATCAGGGTGCATAAGATCTGGAACAACAAAGAATGGCAGGTTGAACACATACACTGCCAACTGGAGTTCAGTGAGAAAGCTTCTGATTGGTGCTCACCTTATTCCTTGTCTGAGTCTGTCCAATGAGAATAAGGGCATTAGAGGAGATGATGGAGAGGCAGAAGTTAATGAGGATCACAGAGCGCTCTGATCTAATGTACCTGTAGGAAGAAAAAAACATCTTACAACCAGGATGATAGCTTCTGATTTAATGTCTACATGCCATGGATCATGATGCTGATGATCACTGAATCATACATCCCTGTCTTTGTTTTATTTTATCACCATTTCTGTCATGTGCCTTCTTTCACCTGGAATGTCTCTCACTAAAGGACTTCATGTTTTCTCTCTAATTTCTCATGTATGGAGTCAAGTTTTCACAGTTTTCCATCTGAATGCTTATTTTTTTTTAAATATATGTATGACTGTATGACATGTATACACAGTAAGTATACATGTCATACAGTCATACAGTCATACAGTCATACAGTCATTCAGTCAGTCAGGCAGTAAGTAAGTAAAATCATTTTCTCTAAAACTAAGCCCCCGGTTAACCACTGACCCGTTCAACTTTCTGTATGTCAGCTTTCAACTGAAAAACTGGTCCATGCATTTGTCACGTCTAGACTGGACTATTGCAATGGTTTATTATCTGGGTGTCCAAATACTTCTTTAAAACGTCTTCTGTTGATCCAAAATGCTGCTGCCAGATTCTTAACTGGAGTTACTGGGAGAGATCATATCTCTCCAGTTTTAGATTCTCTCCACTGGCTCCCTGTCAAATCCAGAATTTAATTCAAAATCTTACTTCTAACCTACAAAGCTCTCAACAACCTAGCTCCATCTTATATTCAACATTTTATTGTTCCAGATTTTCCCAACAGAGCACTTCGCTCTCAGACTTAAGGCTTACTTGTGGTTCCTAAAGTTTCCAAAAGCAGAATGGGAGGTTCAGTTATCAGTCTCCTCTCTTGTGAACCAACTTCCAGTTTCTGTCTGTAAGACTGACACATTGTGCACTTTTAAGACTGGACTTAAGATATCTTGATGCATGCTCAATAATCCAGGTAGAAAAATCTAAATAAATTAAGCCAGGTCCTCTGGACAGGTTCAAAAATCGAGAAACAAAAAAATTATAGAACTTTTTCGTTTTTCATCCCAAAAAAATTATTCCGTATGAAGAAGTCTTTCGTATGAAAGACGGAACGTTTCTACAATTTGTTTTTGTTGTTCTGTTTTGTGAACCCGTCCAGAGGACCTGACTTAACATTTTTAGACAGGGTTTAATACTTTCCTTTTTGATCAATTTTATCATTAGGGTTGGCTTGTTATGCTGCTATAGGCTTAGACTACTAAAGGACAAATTGACTTCGTTTCCTTAAATGATTTGCTAAAATTTAATCATTTTCATTTTATACTATTTCTATCTTAACGTGATTCTTGACCTGCCGTTGTGTATCTGTTCCTATCAAACTCAGCCAGTTGAAGCAGATGGCCGCTTGTCCTGATCCTGGTTCTGCTAAAGGTTTCTTCATTGTGAGGGAGTTTTTCCTTTCCACTGTCGCCTTCATGCTTGTTCAAGATGAGAGTTCTGTGATGGAGTTAAATTCAAAGCAGTCTGCTTGTCAGATAAATAGTCTTAAAAATTTTTTTAAGGGTGCACCGATTGCACTTTTCTGGCCAATCACCAATAACTGATCTCTAAAAAGCCTGACCTGCCGATTCCAATTTTGGCCGATACCAATTTTGCTTTATAAGCAACCCTGTCAGGTGTTATAAGTCAAAATGCACCTTCAATTTTCCAATCTTGTTTTATTAAAAAACATACCCTTGAACAATATCCTAGAAACTAGAAAGTTCCTGGAGAAACTTTGATGGGGACTGCCAGGCTGCTGCCGATTTAAATTCTTGATTTGATAGTAAAAGGTTTTGTGGTTCGCTCTCAGCTACCATTATACAAAATTTAATCTGAATAGCTCAAAAAATGGCTGAGTTATAGTCAATTTTGTGTTTGCTGAGGTAGCCGTGGCAGCCATCTTGGATCAAAATGGCTCCAAAACTTAATCAGTTCTAGACATTGATCTGATGATTACTTTCTGTGAGTTTCAAACAAATCCAGCAGTTAGGTTCTGTTTTCATCAGGAACCTGTTTGTTCACTCTGTCATGTGACTTGACAGCAGCAGTTATTGTGAGGAGTGTTCTCTCAGTCATTTCCTATGAAGAATATAGTTGTCTTTGTTAGCAAAATATGTCACCATGGTAACTCTGATTACCAATAAAAGTAATAGGACCCATAACAGGGCCGAGCCGGTTGTTTTGATATAACATTTGTGGGGTACACGTTGTGGTTCGGGTCGCATTAAAGTTGAAAGAAGAGTCGCAGGGTCGCATTAACGGAGATAGAAATGTAGACACACTTCTGAGGTGTAGAATAATAGGTGCCTGCCATGCATTTTCATGGCAGTTCCCAACAATACAACTTGTTTTAACTGGCCATGAGGAAGTGCTCTGAAATATAAATGAAGTTTAGACAATTGATGTTAAAACTACAAAAAAATCTGTAAAACTGGTTTCTCAAGTATTGGCTGATCTCCGATCTCACAAAATTAAAGAAATCGGGGCTGATTTATCGGTTGTAGGCGAACATCCATCCATCCATCCATCCATTTTCTTCCGCTTATCCGGGGTCGGGTCGCGGGGGTAGCAGCCTAAGTAGGGAGGCCCAGACTTCCCTCTCCCCAGCCACGTGGGCCAGCTCTTCCGGGGGAATCCCGAGGCGTTCCCAGGCCAGCCGAGAAACATAGTCCCTCCAGCGTGTCCTGGGTCTTCCTCTGGGCCTCTTTCCGGTGGGACGTGTCCGGAACACCTCACCAGGGAGGCGTCCAGAAGGCATCCTAAACAGATGCCCAAGCCACCTCAACTGGCTCCTCTCGACGTGGAGAAGCAACGGCTCTACTCCGAGTCCCTCCCAGATGATCGAGCTTCTCGCCCTGTCTCTAAGGGAGAGCCCAGACACCCTGCGGAGAAAACTCATTTTGGCCGCTTGTATCCGAGATCTCATTCTTTCAGTCACAACCCAAAGCTCGTGACCATAGATGAGGGTGGGAACGTAGATCGATCGGTAAATTGAGAGCTTCGCCTTTTGACTCAGCTCTCTCTTCACCACGACAGACCTGTACAGCGTCCGCTTCACTGCAGACACTGCACATATCCGCCTATCGATCTCACGCTCCGTTTTTCCCTCATTCGTGAACAAGACCCCAAGATACTTGAACTCCTCCACTTGGGAAAGGACCTCCTCCCTGACCCAGAGAGGGCACTCTACCCTTTTCCGGCTCAAGACCATGGCCTCGGATTTGGAGGAACTGATCTTCATCCCGGCCGCATCGCATTCGGCTGCGAACCGCTCCAGCGAAAGCTGTAGATCACGATCTGATGAAGCCAATAAGACCACATCATCTGCAAAAAGCAGAGACGCAATCCTAAGGCCACCAAAACGGATCCCCTCAACACCTTGGCTGCGCCTAGAAATTCTGTCCATAAAAGTTATGAACAAAATCGGTGACAAACGGCAACCTTGGCGGAGTCCAACTCTCACTGGGAACAAGCCCAACTTACTGCCGGCGATGCGGACCAGGCTCTGACACCGGTCATACAGGGACCTAACAGCCCGTATCAAAGGGCCCGGTACCCCATACTCCCAGAGTACCCCCCACAGAGCCCCCCGAGGGACGCGGTCGAACACCTTTTCCAAGTCCACAAAGCACATGTAGACTGGTTGGGCAAACTCCCACGCACCCTCCAGGACCCTGCTGAGAGTGTAGAGCTGGTCCAGTGTTCCACGGCCAGGACGAAAACCGCACTGTTCCTCCTGAATCCGAGGTTCGACTATCCGATAGACCCTCCTCTCCAGAACCCCCGAATAGACCTTACCAGGGAGGCTTAAGAGCGTGATTCCCCTGTTGTTGGAACACACTCTACGGTCCCCCCTTTTTGAATAGGGGGACCACCACCCCAGTCTGCCAATCCAGGGGAACTTCCCCCGATGTCCACGCAATATTGCAGAGTCGTGTAAGCCAACATAACCCTACAACATCCAGAGTCTTAAGGAACTCCGGGCAAATCTCATCCACTCCTGGGACCCTGCCACTGAGAAGCTTTCTAACCACCTCGGTGACCTTAGCACCAGAGATTGGAGGGCCCGACCCAGAGTCCCCAGACTCTGCTTCCTCAGTGGAAGATGTGCCAGTGGGATTGAGGAGGTCTTAAAAGTATTCTGCCCACGACATCCCGAGTTGACGTCGGCAGCACTCCACCCCTGCTACCAGAGGATCTATGTTTTGAACCTGTACGCTCCACATTGGTTTGTCGTCATATTTATTATCTGCATTGATTTTATGTCAATATTTTTGATTTACTTCATTTTGTACATTACTTCGTGTGTTGTCTGTTGTTCTGTCTGTACAGCACTTTGGTTGGCCTCGTAGCTATTTTAAGTGCTCTATAAATAAAATTGTATGGTATGGTATCGGTACTATAAACAGTGTTGGTGGTATACCGCTTTCCCCCCCTGAGACGCCGGATGGTGGACCAGAATCGCCTCGAAGCCATGCGCAAGTCATTCTCTATGGCCGTAAGCCGCCTCGACAATAGAGGCACGGAACATGGCCCACTCGGACTCAATGTCCCCCACCTCCCCCTGAACATGTTCAAAGTTCTCCCGGAGGTGGAAGTTAAAGCTCCGTCTCACAGGAGACTCTGTCAGATGTTCCCAGAAAACCCTCACAATACGTTTGGGCCTGCCAGGTCTGACCGGCATCCTCCACCACCATCGGAGCCAATTCACCACCAGGTAGTGATCAGTGGATAGCTCCGCCCCTCTCTTCACCCAAGTGTCCAAGACATGTGGCCGCAGATCAGATGAGATGACGACAAAGTCGATCATCGAACTGTGGCCTAGGGTGTCCTAGTGCCAAGAGCACATATGGACACCCTTGTGCTTGAACATGGTGTTCGTTATGGACAATCCATGACGAGCACAGAAGTCCAACAACAGAACACCACTCGGGTTCAGATCAGGGGGGGGCTTTCCTCCCAGCCACACCCCTCCAGGTCTCAGTGTCATTGCCCACATGAGCATTGAAGTCCCCCAGTAGAACAAGGGAGTCCCCAGGAGGTGCACTTTCCATTACCCCCTCCAAGGACTCCAAAAAGGGTGGATAATCTGAACTGCCGTTTGGTGCATAAGCACAAACAACAGCCAGAACCCATCCTCCGACATGTAGGCGGAGGGAGGCCACTCTCTCATTCACTGGGGTGAACTCCAACAAACAGGCACCAAGATGGGGGGCAATAAGTATGCCCACTCTTGCTTGGCGCCTCTCACCAGGGGCAACTCCAGAGTGGAAGAGTGTCCAACCCTATCAAGGAAACTGGTTCCAGAGTCAGAGCCATGCGTAACGGTGAAACGGTATATGGACTGTACTTATATAGCGCCTTTCTATCTTATTTCAAGATACTCAAAGTGCTTTACACTACAATCTGTGCCTCATTTACCCATTCATACAGCACTCTACTAGATCTCTACAAAGATAATTGAACAAATCATTCTAAAGAGACTAATCAGTGCTTTAGTTCACATTCATACACTGATGGGACACACATCAGAGGCTATGAGGGGTTCAGTGTTTTGCCCAGGGACACTTTGACATGTGATTGCTGGTGGATTCGAACCCCCAACTCTCGCATTGGAGGACGACTGCTCTAACAACTCAGCCACAGCCGCCGACTATTTCTAGCCGGAACCTCTCAACCTCACACACCAGCTCAGGCTCCTTGCCACCAGTGAAGTGACATTCCACGTCCCAATAGCCAGCTTCTGTAGCCGAGGATCAGACCGTCAGGTTCCCCGCCCTCGGCCACCACCCATCCCACATTGTACCCAACCCCTTTGGCACCTCCCACAGGTGGTGAGCCCATGGGAAGGGGGACCCACGTCTCCTCTTCGGGCTGTGCCTGGCCGAGCTCCATGGGTAAAAGCCCGGCCACCAGGCACTCGCCCGTGTCCCCCACCTCTAGGCCTGGCTCCAGAGTGGGGCCCCAGTGACCCACGTCCGGGCGAGGGAACATCAAGTCAATTTATTTTTCTCATCATGGGGTGGTTGTGCTGCACTTTGTCTGGTCCCTCACCTAGGACCTGTCTGCCTTGGGTGACCCTACTAGGGGCATGAAGCCCCTGACAGCATAGCTCCTAGAATTGTTGGGACACTCAAGCCCCTCCACCACGGTAAGGTGGCAGCCCAGGGAGGAGTAGAGTTCATAAAGTCAGAGTTTCTTTATTGTCATTTGCACCACATGTGGTAAATGTGGTGGAACGAGATTGCGTACTCAGGGTGCCAGTTACATCCAACAAAAAAATGCAAAATGTAAAAGAAAAACAGTAATAGGATCTGACATGAACTAAGAAAAACATCAACAGGGGTTGCGTAATGTAAAATTTACTCTTACATACTGAATTTCACTGAGTTATTGCCCTGTGCTGATCTGCAGCATGAAAACATCCACTGCAGTAATTATTTTGTTATTAGTAGCTTAGATTTTTTTTCTGTCTTCTTTGTCTTAATGCTGGACAAAAAGGCATGAATGCCTCACTTAATGCCTCAGGTAACGCCGTGAGCTCAACTACCTCCACATTACAGCTATCTTTGTTTGTTTGTTTGTCCAAGGTTAGCTCACCCTGGGTTACATTTCCTCGTGGGTTGAGCGATCTTACTATTCACATAAAATATTTGATAATGTTCTTATAGATACAATTTCTGAATATTGTCCATACTGTGTTAATGCTACGTTTGTCTCTTGACCCTACAACTGGGTAAGGTTACAGTAGACCTAGCGCACTACTGGAGTTTTAATTAGATATTTCAAGCTACTAATAAACATGATGGATGATGATCATATTGCTTTATGCTAGGCCATTGGTAAGAAGGAGTGATTATTATTATTATTGTTTCATATTGGTTAGTGATTTTTCCTGCGCCGTAAAACTTAACTTAGGCATCCCTGTGTTTCTTAGACTGTAACTAGGATGCGTGAGAGAAGCGGAGCATGCTCTGTTCACACAAGAAGAGCTGTCTACTTTTGGCTCTGGACCCAGAGACCTCCCACCAGTGTGTACACACACACACACACACACACATACACACATTACAAACATGCTTCTGACACCAATGGCCACCGTGTTGCTAAACATCTTCCAGAAGCAGGACCCTCACCCACAGTACAACTGGACCCTCGCCCAGACCAAAGTAGGCCTCCCACATATAAGATACTACTCATCTTGTGAACAACAAGATTATTGTCTTTTTCATTTGAAATGGGCCAGATCACTTATATTAAAAGTAAACTAATGGAAATTACTGCTGTAATTTGAATTTTTTAAACAAGCCATGTAACTTGCTATGATCCCAGATTTTGAACAGATGTGATACTGGTGTGTGACCACTGATGTTGGTCACAGTGGTCCTCAGTGTGCTCAGGGAGCTTGTGTGTTTTCCCAGACACATGAAAAATTAGAGGGAACATTGCAATCGTCTCACTTCCATCACAGGGACACTATGGACAGGTCTCCAGTCCATCACAGGGACACCTGGACAGGTCTCCAGTCCATCACAGGCTCCCGGCCGGGATTTGTACAGGCGACCTGCTTGCTGAGAGGAAGCAGCTCTACCAACTGTGCCACCGTGATGCCCCATTTGGAAACAGAATATCTTACTTTTCACAGCCACAGAATGCACCTGCTGATACAATCATTGCTATTACATTTATAAGACCCAACTCAATTATGCAATTTTCATGATACAATTAAGTTCACAACAATGCTACAAAATTGAAAGAAAATACATTTTGAGTCTATATATTTGCTTCAATGCAATGCAAGACACCAAATATATGTCAGTTTTTGTCTACTTTTTACTGATTAATTTTAAAAAATGGTCACAAACAGGTGTTATTTTCAAATTATTCTTTCATAAAACATTACACACAAATAAACAATACACAAACATGAGAAAATAAAACCTGCCACAAGCAGATATGTTTAAACATTTTTCATTGGCATAGAAGGGAGAAAAAATCATCAATAATAAAACATACGTTAACATTTTTACTTGGAATATTTATTACAGAGGTGGTACAGTGGTTGTGGTAGAGCTGTTGCCTCTCAGCGAGCGGGTCGTCAGTCCAAATCCCCAGCCGGGGGCCTTTCTGCTTGGAGCTTGCATGTTCTCTCCGTGCGTGCGTTGGTTTTCTTCGGGTCCTCTGGTTTCCTCCCACAGACCAAAAACATGCATGTTAGGCTGATTGGTAACTCTAAATTGTCCCTAGGTGAGAGAGAGACAGTGAATGATTGCTTGTCTCATTTGTCTCTATGTGTCCCTGTGATGGACTGAAGACCTGCACCCCGCAGCTCGCACAGTGACTGCTGGACCAGCAACCCCTCGTGACCCAAAAAATAAGTAGGTAAATAGAAGGATGCTATATGCTTGACAAGGCCAGAAACATGAGCTCTTAGAGGAAATAACCATATCTTACCTCCACACAGACACATAGATGATGATGAGTAACAGCAACGTCAGAGAGGACACTCCACAACCCACGATGAGCGTCACAGACGGGAGCTGCAGCTTATCCATGTTCTGAAACACAAGCAGAACATAGACACAATATTATGATGCAATTATTATTAACCCGTTGATCAGTGATAAAAAGGAGCTTGTGTTTTCTTCAATTTAGACATTAAACTAAAATCTAAATCATGCAATAAGCAAAGTATTAAAATAATCCATAATAATAACTATAAACTCTAGATTAGGCTAGGCAGTTTCAAAATGCACCATGCCATTAAGTTGCTACGGTGTCAAAACTACTAAACTAACCTGGCATTCTTTAAATGTCTTTTAATGCTAGAAAGTGCTTTTTTTCCCCTCTAGTCATATGAAATATGAAACAATGTTCCCTCTTCCACACTTGTTACTGTGAGTTGTCACTCAGCTGGTTGACAGTGTTGCCAAATAAGCAACTTTGTTGCTATACTTAAGAAGTTTCATACTCCCTTCAGCAGCAAGTTTGAAAGAATAAAAAAAAAAAACCCACTAGTGACCAAACTAGCAACATTTTCTGGTCTGACTGAAGATTCATTCATTCATTCAAACTTTATTTATACAGGTTAATCTCATTGAGCCTCGAGAACTCATTTACAAGAGAGATCTGATTTCAACAAAGAAAGATGACAACAGTAGACAATCATAAAAGAAAGCACATAAACTGAGAAGAACAAATGAAAGAAAATGGTATTAAAATAAATAAACAAAAACAGCTACAGGTATATTGTAAAGTGATGGAAAACTAAAACCAGGAACATGTCTGCATTGGTTTTTGCCAGGAACTTAACAGATTTTTGAAGCCACTGAGGCCCTATTTACACGGACACGATGTGGGGAAACGTGTTTTTTTTTGTATGTTAATTAGAGGAAAAGAGTTGCGTTGACACGGTCGGATTTTGTGTTTACATGCATCCGCAGGAATCTCCCCCGCCCTCCCGAATCTGCTGTAGTTACCATGCCGGGTCATTAGATGGCGCTGTGAATTTTGTACCTTTACCTAATGCGCAAGCGTGCTGCCTCGGCACGCTCCTTTCCTCTGGGCTAAAAGCTCAGCTAACAACAACTTAATAACAAGTTAAAGCTGGATTTTGTATGAATCGACAGATTTGATGCCAAGCTGGACTGCTTCATCTAACAGCTCCACACCGGTTGCTGAGTGGACCAGAACCGAGTCGACGATGTCGGACTTTACTCCGTGATAATCAGTAGCTGATTTACAGCTGGTAAATCAAATGTTCTTAATAATGTTAGCTTGTGTTTACTTCGATCACACAACAACCAGCTGAGTTTTTATTTTTATTTTTCCTGAAGCTGTCCTCCCACCAGGCGGACCGGTTCTGAACGAGGCTCGGCCCAGGTGCAGTGCAGGTGGACGTCGAAGAGAGAGATGTTGGATGAACTATTTATTTAAAATTCCCCTCAGTTCTTTTATTCAATCCATTTAATATTTTAATCTGCATTAATCAAAGGAGTGACAGCCTGAACGAGCCAGATGAACAACGTGGGACATCCAGGATGAAAACAAGAGTCCAGTTGTTCATTAACGTAGTTTACAGTTAACTTGTTTTTAATAGTGTATCAGTTTAATTATCAGTGTTTGTGTGACGTACAGTTTGTGGTGTTGAATAAATAAATAAAATAAAAATTAAACCTGATGTCTTCATTTTCAACTTTAGTGTTCACGCTATATGTTTAGTATCATTTTAAATTTGAATTACATAATGTCCAGATAGCTTCATTTAGCTCAGAGCTTCATTATCTCTCACACACTAACATAAATACTGTTTATTATTATTAAACTGTTATTATTTAGCACATTTATGTTCTACTGCAGCGCGACGTGTGCGCGTTCCTCATTCTATAAACCGCGACATTAGAACTGGATCAGACTGTCTCTTCCAACACATGTTGGTCACAGCACCAGGAATCTGATGTAGATTAACTACGAGATTAAAATATATTCCATCAGTCTTAGTTCAGAAAGCAGTGTGTCTGCCGCCATGTTGATAGAAATATAGCATCTGTCCGCACGTGCGTGTGCGCATGTGGTTTAACACAAAGCCTCAGCGGGAGATGTTTACATTATCAGCGGGGGGTCAGTGAAAAACCTCCACTCTGGAAGGTGGGTTCAAAAACCTCCGGGGCACGGAGTGGGGGGGGGGGGGGCACTGGTGTCGTGTAAATGATCAGCAGAACCTCAGAGAGAAAGCTGTGGATGCACTCAGAATACGCGCCGTGTAAACAGCCCCTTAGAGAGGTCAAGAACTTCAGATCTTTTTGTAAGATATTCCAGGAAACAGGAGCAGAGTAGGAGAAGGCCCTTTTGCCTAGTTCAGTCCTCATTGAGGGAACACTGCAGGTAATAATGTCCTGAGAGCGCACGCTGTAGCTGCACTCACACAGAGACATGTAGGAGGAGATGTATGAAGGCAGCAGACCAAGAAGTGATTTAAAGATGAAAATGTACCAGTGAGAGAGTCTGCGTGAAGTTAATGATGTCCAGTTAACCAGTGAATACTGGGTGCAGTGGTGGGTACGATAATCACAGCCAGTTCTGAATCTTAGTGCACCATGATAGACAGCATCCAACATCTGCAGGGTTCTTGTAGGAGCGTTCATGTAAATAATGTCACCGTGATCAATGGAGGGAAGGAAAGTCACAGTTACAAGGTGTTTCCTAGCATTCAGAGTTAGACAGGAGCTGTTTCTGAAAAAGAAACCCAGTTTAACTTCCAGTTTCTTTACCAAGTTTTCCACATGGAGCTATATATATGCACACACACACACACACACACACACACATATATGTAGATTGGCAGTTCACACTAGGTTTTAGGTTTTCAGGATGGGAGACTGCAACGAAGCCAAGATTCAACTTGTCTGCTGGATTCCTTAGATAGAGAACTTTACTAATTGGCCTTTATGTGAATGTTCCTGTAAAGTCCCTGAGACAACTTTGTTGTGATTTGGTGCTTTATAAATAAACTGAATTGAATTGAATTGAATTGAATTGAATTGTATTGAATTGAATAGTGAGATCTGTGATCTCAGTGATATTTGACTGGCTAAATCACTTGTGTCAAACTCAAGGCCAAATGTGGCCCTCGTTGACATTTTATCTGGCCCCCAAGAAGATATATTAAGCATAAAATACTTTAATCACTTAAATTTTTTCAGTAATCTTTGATTATGATGCCAGCAAGGAATGTCAAATGAGACCAATGAAACTCTTGTTGAGGAACCTGCAACCAAGAAAAAATGTTGAGTATCTAACTCGAGTTAATGTAGATTCTGAAATTGGCCCTTAGTTTGAAAAAAGGTTTTAATTTTGGCACCCTTTTGTAAGTGAGTTTGACACCCCTGGGCTAAATGAAGGATAATAAAAACAAAATAATATTTTTGATGTATTATATAAGTTCCTCTGCCTTTTCTGATTTAGGTGGAAACTTATATGTTGCTCACTTTGTCATCTAGTTAGTAGTGGTATCTAGTAGCATCTACTGGCTGTGTTTCTTTTGGTATATGGAAACATGAACACAACTGATATGTAATAGGACTTTTTTCAACATAACTTTTCCCCTTAAATTCATGCTGTTGCCGAAAAATTACTTCTAGACTCTGTCCTTCAACATGAAGAAGCTGTTTGTCTTGGTCTGCCGTCTCATTCTTGTTTCTGTTGTTTGCACACCATAAACAGTCTGGGTGCTACACATTCACACCTTCAGAGTTCCACCTGTTGTATTCCTCACATCATGAACAATAATTGTCTTTTGATTTTTGATGATTTTTAATTGATCATGCCAGCATTATAAAAATATTAAATTTAAAAAAAATAAAAATATATAAAAAATATATGTATATATACCCCACACCTCTAGTCATTAGCTGATGAATGTAGAAAAGGTTAACATCATGTGTGTGTGTGTGTGTGTGTGTATGTGTGTGTGTGTCTTATGTGTGTGTGTGTGTGTCTTATCTCACTCAGCCTTGTAACCTGTATCTCTCACTCTCTGCTCTTTGAATTGAGAAATCTCCTCGGATGAGGAGCGAAACGTCTTCTGTTACAAATAAAGTCCAGTTGTTTTTGTATTGAACGCTTTTTGAATTCATCATGTCCTGGATGACTGAGAATCTTCACCAGCAATATGAAGGAAGCAAATTCAAACTTTAAATATGCCCTACGGTTCATTAAAAGACATGATAATTCTCTCAGGGCTGAGTCACTGGCAAGAAAACTACAAAGTAACTACCCTACAGATTTCTGGAAAGAAATTAAAAGAATGAATGATAAAAAAATTTCTTGAGAGTCAGAGTCAGAGATTCTTTATTGTCATTCGCACCTCATGTGGTACATATGGTGGAGCGAAATTATGTACACAAGGTCCCAGTTACATCCAACAATAAAATGTATAAGAAAAACAGTAATAACATCTAAGATATGAACTAAGAAAAACATCAACTAAATATACACTAAGCACTCATAACATAAAACATTGAACATCAGCACAAACATGAACATGAGTCTGTGAGCAGATGTGCACGCATGAACACATCAACATTGAAACAGATCAGCAGCAACATGATATGGTTTTTCACAGTGATTATTCTAGTTAGAGATTCATGAGTCTAACAGCCTCAGGGTAGAAGCTGTTCCTCAGTCTAGTGGTTCTACACTTATTGCTCCTTAACCTCCTTCCTGAGGGGAGTGGGGCAAAAAGTGTGTGTGCTGGGTGAGTGGGGTCCTTCATGATGCAGGTGGCCCTCTTCCTGCATCTGGAGGTGTAGATGTCTGTGATGGTGGGGAGGCTGATTCCAACAGATTCCTGTGCAGCCTTCACCACTCTCTGCAAAGCTTTTCTTTCTGCAGCTGTGCAGCCTCCATGCCACACGTTGATGCTGGAGCACAGGATGCTCTCCACTGCACACCTGTAGAAGGAGGTGAGGACTGAGCTTCCCAGACCAGCTCATCTCAGCCGCCTGAGGAAGTAGAGTCTCTGATGA